GCAGACATATATGTATATATACATATATGCACAGATGTATATTATAATTATAATGTTTAAAACCCTCCAGTCTCCCTCAGCAGCCTAATCCAAAGTCAACTGCGTCTTGTAGTCAGAAGTTTTCTTTATTATAAAATTAGAATTAACTCAGTGGAGGAAATAAGAAGGTAGCTTAAAATAATTTCTAGATAGCTAAATATGTGAAGAAAGAGCATTTAATTTTCAGCAAATCTTCCCCTGTCCTTTTCTTACCATCTTCATCATTCTTTCTCACTTCTTATGAGACCATCCTGGATCTCCTGTCAAGGTGAAGGACTCAAACCCTGAACCCTCAAAGATGAGTTAATATTATTTAAGTTACTTCACCAAAGATTACTACCACAGGACACTTTTGTAAACTCCATAATTCAAAGGAATAAATCTCTAATGATAGAATTTAGTCCATAAGATAAACTGTTTTCAGCAAGCCCACCTTCCTGTTACGCCTCTTTCTCTCTTTTTGCTCTCCCTCTTTTCAAATTTACATCTTGCCTTTTTAAACTTTCAATTATAAGCATGATTAAAATTTCCAGTGTCCACTCCATTTTCATAGCATCTAGCTGTGATCTTGTATTAAGGAAGTTATTTGATTGACTTCATTCTTCCCAAGGTAAGATAGGAATGTTGCTGATCCCCTCCATTGTTCTTTGTGCAAGAGAGGTTGTTAAAAATTATAGGAAGGGGAAATGTGGCACTTTTCCGTTCATCAAAAATGTATCTCATTCAAGGAGAATGGTCAAGTTAGAAGAGGGTGTGTCATGGTGACTCTAGCCTTCGTAATCATACATACACTGCACCCAAAGTTTTTGAGAGTTCAACTCCAGTTTATATGTACTGTTGCCATTAGTTATATCTCAAAGCAACCATTTGTTGGAGGTCCATCTGATGAACCTTTATGTAAATCCAAACTGCAAGTAAACATGATATTTTAATTTGTTTCTTATTTCTGGTTCTTAAAATTTCTGTAATATGCATAAATCAGGGCTTGTCAGCAGCATCATTATTGACACTTTTGGCAAAATAATTCTTGGTTGTGGGTTCTGACCTGTGCGTTTTAGGGTGTTTAGCATTATCCCTATCCTCTATCCACTAGATGCTCATGGCACCTACCCAGTGAGGACAGTAAAACCATCCCCAGACTATGCTAAACTGCTCCTGGGAGGCAAAGTCATGCCTTGTTGAAGAACACTGGTCTAAAGGAATACATTAATAATAACTCTTGTGTCAATATGTGACTTTCACTATGAAGTTCCTTTGCAGGGACATTTTAAAGCATTTTTCAATTTAGAGAGGGTGAATTAGTTAAAGTGAGATATTACAGTTGGTAGGTAACACTTATCACACAGTGGTAAACTGCAGTATTTAACTGTATGCTGTAAACATTAGGGCACTACTGTCAATCCCTTCTGCCTGTGGAACTCCCACTTTTACCTCAGGATGAGGGCTATACATGTGTGGATATCAGAGATAATGTGTCCAAGAGTGTGGAAAATGGAGTACTTATGTACTAAGTCCTCTATGGATTGTGCAAAGGCTGTTTCTGGGTTATAGGGAGGGAGTTAGTTCTTCAGCACTTCTGGCTTGTTATGCAGTGGGGTGGGAGGAGGAGTGGACTCTGGTCAATGACTCATAAAGTTGGAATTTCAGTTAGCTTGTTTGAAAATGGTAAGGATGATGGGAATATGGGTAGGGTGACAACAGTGTCTGCTGCAATCCTACTAATAGACTGAAGGAATTGGATGAGAGAGAGGTTGAAGATGGATAGAAACCAAGAGAGGGCCGGCCGAGTGGCGCGATGGTTAAGAACTGGTTTGGGACGCCAGAGGGCCCTGGTTCAGATCCCACATATGAGGGCCAGTGACACTGCCCTCCACAGCTAAGATGCTGAACAACAGCTCAACCTGGAGCTGGGTTGCCATGAGTCGCCGGCGACGGCGTAGGCTGCAGCCCCTGTGGCAGTGGGTTGCCATGGGCTACCGTGTGTAGCCAGCAGCCAGCGTGAGCGGCCAGCAGCAGCAGTGAGCGGCCGTCCAGAAGCCGGCAACTGATCTGCCTCGTCCGGGAAGAGCGCAATGATGGTGCCAGCTTGGGCCAGTGAAGCAACATCCTCCACAACTAGATTGAAGAACAAAAATGACAGCAACTTGTCTGTTCCCCTTCCCCCAATTCCCCAGCACTGTTCCCATCCCCCCATTCCCCAATAAAAATCTTAAAAAAAAAAAAAAGAAACCAAGAGATAAGTGAAGGAATAAGATAAATGGTGGCAGACTAAAAATCATAGGTAGAAAAATTGCCTGAAAACAGGGTGACACTTCATCTTTTGAGTCTAGAAGGGGATGGGAAGAATGGCTGCAAACGTAGATAGGTTTGTGGGTTTGATGTCAGGAAGGTGTGCGCTTAACATTTGCTTCTTTGTTTTCTTGCTATCCTTTGAGAGAAGGTCATCCCTAGAAAGTGATGATTTCTAATAAGTAAGGAAAGCAAAGTTTGTATAGCCAATAGCCACTAAGGGAAATGGGAGACACATTTAAAAAATATAAGCATCGAAGAGCTTAGCTGAGACAAAAACCCAAAAATGTGTGGTAGCACCCATTCCATAGGCTAGTGGATCATCTCCAACAGTACTCAGTAAATATGGTACAGGGGTAGAAAATGCAAATTGTAAATTCATTCATTTATTGAATAAATATTTACTAAATGCCTAATATGTGTCAGGAACTGAGTGCTGAGATGAAACAGTTAACAGACAAATTTCAAATACACAAAAATTCTATGATTTTGTAGGTCTTATATTCTGGAGAGGAAATACAGAAAATAAGTAAGACCAATGAATAAAATTATAGTGTATTAGTCATAAGCTTATAGAGAATGGAGAGAGGGAATGTTGGAGCTGGAGAGAGGTGTCATTTTTGATAGGGAATGTGGGCACAGCTTCTCTGAGAAAGTGTCATTTCAAAGAAGACTTGAAAGAGGTGAGATATTGAACCATGTGGATATCTGGAAAGCATGTTCCAGGCAGAGGGTACAGAGAGTGCAAAGGTCCTAAGACAAGCGTGTGCCTGGCATGTTGAGAAGTGACAAGAAGACTAGTGATGACTGGACCAATATGAGCAAAGAGTAAATGGTTTAAATTGAGGTCAGAAAAACAAGGTAAGAGGTCCACGTTGTGTTAGGTCCTGTGGCCCATGGCTTTTAGGTTGATTTAGTATTAGAAATTTTGAGGGAAGTTGAGGTGTAAGGACTCACTTCACCACTGAGGAGGAAAAGGATTGAGAATGTTGGTGAAAATATATTTTAAATGACTGTTGAAAACAGAAGAAAATGAGCCCAAGAATAAGAAGATTATTTTGGAGCCTCATGAAGAATGGGGAGAGAATCAGGAATGAATGAAAGCATAGAAGGCAAAGGAGGAAAGAATTTCAAGGTGGAAAGCATATTATTAATGATAACTAACATTTATTTAGCATGGGTGATGTGCTAAGTACTTTGTGTATTATTTCATTTAAATTTCTCACCTACCTGATACCATAATAAAAATTATCATCCAAATGTTTTGGATGAGCAAACTGAGGCATAGAGTAACTAAGCTACTTTCCCAAAGACATGCTACTGGTTAGTGGTAAAACTAGGATTTGAATGCCGTTAGTCTGTTAGGCTTCTGTTCTTAATGAGGTTGTTATGCAGGCTAAATGCTGCAGAAGATTCATGTAAGATAAAGATGGATGCAGGTCAATGAAAATTGCGTATTAGGAGGTCATTGGCAAAAGAGGGTGGGAATATAGACAAAACTTTGTGGTTCGGTGGCTCAGTGCATGACCAGAAAGTGGGAGCAGCAGTCTTTGGATTGGAGAGACAATGGGATTATGGAGAGTGATGCCAAGATGATGTAAAATTACAAACAAACAAACAAAAAAATAAAGAGAAGGTGCCAGAAGAAAGTGCAACAATGAAGATAAAGGTCTGAGTCAAATAATTTATGGAGCAAAGGCAGGGAACAAGTCTGAAGGCATTGGAGCTGTGAATTAGCTTTGAAGAGGAAGACCCTAGTTTTATGGGAAAAGAGCTGAGGACCAGAGAAGCAAATGGTGATCCTAGGTCATAAAGCCATTTAAGCAGTAGCTCAGGGACCAGAGTCCACATTTTCTGATTGTCAAGGCAAGTCCTTTCCACTAGGCCACCCAGCCACTCTTGCTGAATCACCGTCTGCTGGTTACTTACCCCCAATCCAAAGGGAGTTGTTGTAGTTAATGAATAAATACAGTATAGCAAAACCCACTGTAAATGCACAGCTCCACAGAAACACTGAGGGCATCTTGACCTTTGAGTTTCCTTTATGTCGCCCTCCCCCTGCAGCTCTTTAGCACAGAGTTCTGCCTTTTCTTACCTATAAACCGCCTTCCAGATACTGCAGGTTTCTCCTTGGATGCCAAATAGGGACTCAGGTGGAGAAAACTGTCACCCTGAGGGAATTTCTACTGAATGAGGCTCCACTAAGCCTTGACATCAAAATGCGTCTGGTAGGTAAGTGGGGGACAGATGGGAAATCAAGCCAGTGTGTGACTAGGCATGATTTAGAGCAACTGTTATTGATACGACAGATCCGAGCAGGCAGCCTCCTGAGAGCCTGAATTTCAGTTGCAGTGCAAGAAGGTGACATGCATAATTGTGCATTTGACTTTTGAATTTTCTACACCTTGCCAGTGGTTATTGCAGCCATAATTTAGGTCATGTGTATTCCAAAGAGGCTTTTGATTTAAGAATCTAGATTTTTTTGGAGGCAAACAATATTTAAGGTATTACCTATATATACAATTGTGTGTATTTATTTTATGGTGATGAATATTTTTTACAGGATATGAACTATTATAACTTTTTAACTTTGGAAGAACAATGGTCTATTCCTAACACTTATATTATCTCGGGCAAACATTTAAATTCTTGATTAATGTTTAACTACAAGGAGTATACTCAGTTCCAGTAAAGGATCACTTGCAGGATTCAGGCTGAGTACTCTTGATGCTTAGAATTCAGGCTCAAAGAGAAGCCCTGAGAAGTTACATATTGGATATTACAGAAAGTGGGAGCCATTCCTGACCTCTAGAGAATGTGGACTGGATATAAGATCTTCATCTTCTCTTATCTTATTACAGAAATTCGGATGGAGAAACAGTCTTTATCTCAAAGAGAAGTTGACCCAGGAGCCTATTTCACTTGGAATCACACCATTTTGGAAAGTACTCGATTCAAAAGAGCTGTTTTCCAAGGGCAGTACTGTAGAAGTTTTGGTTGTTGTGAAGACAGAGATGATGGCTGTGTCACTCAGTTCTATGAGGCGAATGCCCTGTGTTACTGTGATACATTCTGTGAAAGGGAAAACTCTGATTGCTGTCCTGATTACAAGTCCTTTTGCCGTGAAGAGAAAGAATGGCCTCCTCACACAAAGCCTTGGTATCCAGAAGGTAGGCTGTGGGAATGTGTTTAAGCGTTATACTAGTTCATAATAAAATCTGTCAAATTTTCTCTTGTTTCTTATTCCTTTCTTCCTCCCTCCCTCCTCTTTCCCTTTCTCCCTCCCTCTTATCCTTAAGATCAAATTTAAAATAAATACTGTGATCACCAGAATACATTTCTTTGGATTGTTACAGTGCTTTGGTTTAGATGCAGAGTACCGGATTCATACTTCAGGAAAGTTCTGGTATGACGGTCATGAATGCCGGTCTGGATCCTGTTTTGAACACACACTCAACTTATAGAAGAGTTACTTAAAACTCTTTCTTTCTTTCTTTGTAAAATGTAACAGCAGGACTCTCACGCTTTTCTTGAGTGTAACCTCTTAGAGAGTCTCATGAAAGTCACAGGATCACCTGCAGATTCATGTAGCATTTTACTTGCTATTTCTTGGGATTAATGGACCTTCTAGCATTAGAATCTGTGGTATTGTGATGGCATTAAAACTTGTACAAAAGCAAATCAAAGTCAGCCACCCACCCTGCCTAAGTGATACCAAATAGATTCTTCATATGTATTGTTGTTTTGTTTTGCCAATCTGGGATTTTTAAACTATTAGAAACACAGGAGGGCTTCATGTAGTGTGATTGTAAAAGTCTAAGATTGAGTGGATAAATACAAATAATTCATGGGGAGAATGATGGCATTTGCTGTATTGGTCTAATTATAAGAGAATGGCTATTGATTCTGAATGATCAGTATATCCAAAATTTGTAACAAAACACAAAACTAAACACCACTGCTACATTTATATGAGGCCCTATTTTTCTGTCTCCCATCATGTCAAATCCTCAGCAGAAATGCATGTTTAATCAGAGCTTTGTCACACTACTGTAAATGAGTTATGGTGACTAGAAATTACAGTTCAAAGACAATTTAGTATAAACGAGGATTTGGTATCCTTATTTCAAAATCAAGATTTGTTTGAAAATTCAGATGATGTTGCCTTCATTCTCAATAATGTCATCTTATTTATAAAAATGGAGAAAATGTTTCTTAAAACACATATGTATTACATTAAAATTTCCACAGAATCGTCACTTATCCCAGGTCTTTGCCTCTATTAATAAACAGCTCACAAGCATTTATTATTTATTTCACCCTCAAAAGCAGCAGCTACACTACTAGGGATGGGAGACTTGTTGTTCATCAAAAATTATTCACTGAATGTCCCCACTGTGCCAGTCATGGAACTTAGCACCAGGGCAACAACAGGGAAGAAAAAAGACAAAAATCTTATTCTCACTGTTGTGACAGCAAGTTGGGATGTATATGAAGATAATTAACGAATTCCCTGCACAGCTGCAAATTGTGATAAATTCTCTGAAGGGAACATTTAGGGTGCTGTGAGAAAGTATAGCAGACTATAACATCTATATGTAAAATAATATATAACTTTAACCTGGGGATGGAGGCAGCAAAGGAATACATTTAAGCTGATACTCAAGGAGTAAGGAAAAGTGATCTGACCTAAATATGAGAAAGCGTTTGCAGATCTGAGACTGAAGAGCTTGGCTTGGTCCAGGAACTGGAAGGAGGCCACCATTTTTGGAGAGTAATGATTAGGGGAGGGTTGGGGTGGACATGAAATGAGGTCTGACAGGTGATTAGAGGTCAGATTATGCCAGGATTTTTAGGTCATATTAAGGATTTAAGATTTTTATTCTCTTATGAAAACTCATCGAAATATATTAAGTAGAAATAGGGTTGGCTTCAAGGGTGTTGAGTATTATATATAAGCTGCTTGCCTTTGATGTGCTAAAATGTATTTGAGCTTTTCTTATGTGAGACATATAGGCTATTCAGAAAAGTAGTTGCTATTTCTTCAATGTTTGTTTTTGCTTGAGGGCTAGAATTTTGCTAAGGCTTTTATTCAGGATCATGTTATAGTTAGAAATTATATAGGTATAGTTTTTATTCCATTAATTGTAGAGAAAAGCAATTAATCACTTTAGTAGTACAAAATTCACATTACACTATAATTACACTCTGAAGGTAATTTTTTCTTTTTTTATCTTATTGAAGTAGATGGTTGAAAGAAAATAGTCCTTGTACAATATTGAATAATTGTACAAAATTAAAAAATGAAAAGACAGTGGTATGTTGCATATATAAAGTGACTTTCCTCTGAGATGTGAAGTTGTTCATTCACTGATCTATTAAGTATTATTTTTCAGTTATCTGATAATATGGTGTTGTCCAGATCTTTATACTGAAACTATCCCAAGAGCTCTTTTTAAACCAGTGACTTAAAGCTATGTACATTGTCTTGAGGATTAAAGGAGGTCACACCCCTTTTGTATAAACTGAAAGTAGGGCTTATCGGTAAATATCTTCCTTCTGTTTTGTTTTCCCTCCCATTCCCTGATGGTAACTTCTAGTCAGTGGAGGATTTCAAATGTCAGATACAGAAAACATGTAATAGAGTTTGAAACAGAAGCAGAGTAGATTTTCCAGACAGAATCTTATCTTAAGAAAAAAGAGTCTAGTGTACCATCTGTTGTGAACAGACCTCAACTAATTTGATTACACTCAACTCATGTTAGCGTTGGTAAAAATGTAGTAAGCCACTGACACAGTTGAATTGGATGAGGGTTATTGACTCCTTCACAACCTCCTTAACCACATTATAATGAAGATAAGTCACAGTCCAAATTCTGCCATACATACTGATAGTTACAAAAATATGTATTGGTAAGGAGGCATAAGTCAATTCATACAATGGCTGTAAGCTTTATGAAGTCTCAAGTCCCTGTCCTTTACATATTCCCACATCTAAATTGCATGAAACATTTATTGGAGGGACATGTGATAATATTATATACATAGGACTCTGTTACCCTTACAGTGGGTATCAGGGAATGAGAAATCCCCCTACCAGTGGCTGAACACAGAAGCTTTTAGAGACCAGTTCTAAGACACATGGTCTAAGAGTTAAGCTTTTAACTTTAAGGGATACATAAAAATTGTGAGGTATAGGAGTGGGTGTAACTTTAAAATATTTTATCTCATCTACATAAATTGAGTAACAGTAATTTAACCAGTAAGAGCTGATTACTTATATCCATTATGCTGAATAACAAGCCACTGATTTTACCAATATAAGCTCATTTCTGACATGCATTACACTGACACTCTAGTGTTTATCAAAAGATGGATAACTGAGGCACTTGCAGCAGCTACCCTGGAATCTGGCCTTTCAGAAAGTATGCTGCTGACCACTGCTGGGATATGGAATCCTGATTAGAGCTAGTGACTGCCTTCCCTAAAGTCAAGTGTGGTCCAGCACAGATATTATAACACATTATGCTGAAGTATTTTAAAACAAATTACAGACATCTTATTATCATCTTTGCTCCCATAAACCAACTATTTCACTCTCCAAATATTTTATATTGGTTACTGTTAATGTTGCAAAACTCCCTTAATTTCAACAGTCATTACTTTTTCTGTTGTCATTGAGATGCAGTATGTGTAACCAATTTGATTAACTCACTCTGAGATGTTTCATACATATTTCATTGAGAAAATAAAGCCACCAGGAACTCTCTCATCTCTCCATAATCCTAACCTTCAACCTAACTCCATCTGGGTTACTGCTTATCTTGAGTCAATTCCTCCTCTTGACCTCTGAATTTCATATTCTCGTCTTTTTCAAGATCTTCACCCTTAAAACCATCTCTCTCCCTCCCTTCCTCTCCTTTTCTCCCTCTCTCTCTCTCTCTCTTTCTCTCCCTCTCTCTCTCTCTCTCTCTCTCTCTCTCTCTCCCTTTCTTCCCCTCTCTCCCTCTCTCCTAAAGCATCATTTTCCCCCTTCTTTCCTGATAAACAATCAATTTACAAAAACTGTTTTCATAGCTTCCAACTTTGAAAAAGCCTTCCCTTGACTCCATGTCCTTAGCCAGCTACTATCTCATCTCCTTAATTATTTCAATGGCAAAATATTTGAAAGAAACATTTTGCTTCCTGACTTCCATGTCTCTCATCAACCTGTTCCTACACGATGTCATTCCCTGATATTTCATTGAAATCTCTCTTAGCAGGGGTATTGATCACTTTCGTATTACCAAAAGCAATATTCAGATGTCTGTGCCCCTTTTCTTGATCTCCTAGCAGTAATCTACACAGGTGACCACTTATGCTTATATAAAATTCTTTCTTCTCTTGCTTTCCAAGATAAAACCTCCTGAATCCTCTATCTCCTCACAAGCCACTCCTTCCCAGTTTTCTCTTCTGAATGTCTGTTGGCTGGAGTGTTTTGAACTCAATCCTGGACCTTTTCCTCTTACCTATATACACTTTCTCAAATGGACTTTTATTTAGTCTTAAGGCTTTAACAAAATATGTATGTTGATGTCTCAAACTCACACTTCAGCCTTGACTCAACTCTGGGTTTTCATAAACTACTCTATTTGACATTCTCCATTAGGATGGCTAACCTAGAGTTCATCTAAATCTGAAATACACAAAGTAGAACTGTTGATGTTTTTGCCACAACCCTATTTCTTATGTCAGTAATACCTTCACTGTCCCCCCATTGCTCAAGCCAAAATCCTAGTTAGACATCCTTGATTCCTCTTTTTCCTCATTCCCAAAACTCAATCCATGAACAAGCTCCCTTTGCTTTACCTCCAAATTATGTCCACCACTTCTCCCCATCCTCACTACTATCATGGTAATCCTTCATTTTTCTAGGAACCACACCCCAGTCAGCACAACAAAAGTGATGCAGGCAGAAATTAGGGCAGAGACACGTTGGGTAAGGTCTTATAGGTCACTGTAAGAAGTTTGGTTGTATTCTAAATTTGATGGGGAATAACTTGAGGATTTTAAGCAAGGAGTGACACCATATATATTTTAAAGTATCTCTGCAAATGCTGTGTAAGGAATGGGGGACAACAGAGTTGAGAAGCAGTATAGGAAAGGAGTAGGCTATGTCTCTGTGTAGAAGCTGATTATGCACTTTGTCAGCACCTTGATCAAGCTCGGATCAACTGATTATGGTTTTTGTTCAAGTGAGATTACAGCAAACACAGTTTCTCATAGTCAACTCTGACTTGATATTAAGGAAGGATGACCAAGAAATGGAACTTTTGATTTACTACTGATGATTTTGGGTAGGCCTGGTGATAGCATTCTCTTGACTCCAAAATTATTAGCTGGAGTACAGGTCCGAGGTGGGACAGTCTTGTTCCTTAGGATCTTTGTGATTTCTATTTCCTTTATCTATGTAACTCTTTTGAACAAGCAAGATACATGGGGGATGGCTAAAAATCAGCCTTGATGTTTGTCTTCACTCTCCCTTTAAAACTAGTCAGGGAAATGCTTCCCTTGACTTTGAATAAAAACTTGAATTGTTGCATGGATTTTCTGTTGCTCCTAAGTATTAAAAAGTTCTAGGGTCTCTTCAGGTTACAAATGTATAAATTCATTTATTAAAAGCATCTAATCCTGGGTAGTAATGAAAACTCTAAACTTGATTTTAAAGTCGAATCTTTCCCGTCTCTTGAGTTTGCTAGATCGAGAAGCTTGTGGTCCAGGAGAGAGGTGGTTTCTGTCCCTCTTATGTGGAATCCCAAAAATCCATATGAGGGAGGTGAATAGACACAAATACATAGAGGTTTTAGAGTTATGAAGCAAAATATAGAACTGTGAAAACATAATACATGCTGAAGAGGAGCAATTGTGAAATGTTTCCTATGAAACAATTTTTGAAAAACCAGAGCATAGCTAATTCCATAAGTGGCTTTTGTGACATTGTATCTGGCATTTACACCAGGTCCCTTGGAATGCTTTCTGAACATGTAGATTTTTCCCTATGATTGAATGACTAAAAAGTTAGAATTCATTTTGTTTAATTAGGGACCATTGATGTGATTCATCAATTACAAGTTTCTGTCAAAAAATTTTCCCATGACTAAGTAGTGAATTTCGCTACTTTCCTAATTCAGCATGAATTTTAAATTTATGCAAATTATATTTCAAAGGGGGTTTAATTGGTAGCCAGGGTACTATTTTCACAATGTCTTACTCATGACTTTCATAATACAATAACTCACCATTTATCTATTCTGAGTAGTTTATATAATCTGGTAAACTAGTTAACAACTAATTTCAGTTAATAGTTGAGAAAGATTTGGGTCTGGACCACAAATGGCTACAATTTTGTTGGTGTCATAAATTTTCCCCCTGATCTAAATCCTGAAAAAATAAATAGAATTTATCTTTGTTAGGTGAATTCAATGAAATAGCTCCATATTATGTTCAAAACTTTGAGCTCCTTACTCTAGTCATATGTAATTAATCATATTCACTTATGAGATTTGATTAGATTTCTTAAAATGAGAAATGCCATACATTTATTCAAATGCTATTTTATTGCCTACTTAAACACATTATTTTTTGAGTGTGGTTCGTGACTAATTCTTTGGTAATCTAGTTTTTATTCTTTATAAATTCTCTCTGTTGAAACATAACATGCAGTTTAAAAATAAAAGTGCATGGAATAAACCCAGAAAAACTCGATGTATAAACCTTGACACAAACCAGATGTGAATTTCCATCAGTGACACCACATATTTTTGCATAACTGAAAAAATAAACACAATTTTAGATTACTCGTTGTGTTAATGCACTTTATTACTCAGTTTAGAATTTTCATTTGTTTACATGCTATTTGACAGGTTGCTTCAGAGATGGTCAACATTATGAAGAAGGATCAGCAATTAAAGAAAACTGCAACTCCTGGTAATGAATTTAAGCGGCACAAAACTGAGTTCTGTGTGTGTTTTCTTCAAATAGAAGGCATACAAGTGAAAAAATATATATTTAAATATGGATAGACACAATCATAAGTCATAAGATATCACATATCTGTAGCTTTTTAAAAGCATATTTAATTTTAATACATGTTGAAAAATCCAATCATGAATACAATTTTATTGCCGGAGTTTGATGTCCATGACAATGTACAGCAGGCCTGAATTAAATATACCTCTTAATTATAAACATTCTAAAATACCACAGGCAAATCGTGTTTCTTTGAACACACACACACACACACACACACACACACACACACANATATATATATATATATATATATATATATATATATATATATATATATATAAACAGGCTCCCTTAAAAGGATTATCCTGTAGAAAGTTTTCAATTACAAACACATTGAATCTAAAGTCTAAATTGTCTTGTGTTTTCAAACTTCAGCATAGTTATTTCATTTATTAATTGCCTGGAATAGAAGATAAGAACATAGTGAGTGGTAGCTAATGCATGTATTATGATTTATTTTTGCCCCAAATCGAATAGCCATATGACTAACATTAATCAAAATATGTTTTATGCCTTAACAGTCTGCAACTCTGGTTACTCATTTTGTAAAAGTACTTCATAAAGGCCAGGTAGGTCACTTTTGTAATTTTTATATCTTTGCAGCACATGCTCAGGACAGCAATGGAAATGTTCCCAGCATGTGTGCCTTGTTGAACCAGAATTAATTGACCATGTCAATAAAGGAGACTATGGGTGAGAGCAATCTTGTTTTTTAGGCTTTTTTTTTTTTTTTTGGCACTCCCAGTTACTCCTCAGGTTCCAAACAATGTATGTCCTATCATTTACGTCTAAAAATAGTCATTATTTCAAAAGAAAGAGTGGGAGAGAAATAGCAAGGGAGGTAGAAAGGCATGTAAAATCAGAATGCACAGAGGTGAATATTAAATAATTATAAATTAGAATGCACGAAGAAGAAATCTAGAACATGGCCTTAAATTGTCTAGAAAGGAGCAGTGTTGATGGTGTGAATGAGGAGAGTGGGGTGGGGATGGAGGGTACTTCAGTTTGGATAAGTATTCAGGCAAAATCAGGAAGTGGGCATAATTGATTTATTCATGCTTACCATCTTTTCTCAGCTGCGGCCCTGACCCAGCCAATCACATGCTCAGCTTCCCTGGGTAGAACCTAGCCTTATGAAGGTGGTATTATATCTTATGATCTCCTAAATAACCAGCCCATCTAGACAATTTCACTGACATGGCTGATATCTAGCAAATTTCACGTACAGTTGAGTCAAAAGACAGGTTGAGATACTTTGCTAATAAACTAAAGATAGGGCTGATTGGCACTTAAATGTAAAAAAATAACGGTTTGATGCTCTCCAGCAGATTAATTAATTAGGTAGCTTCTCCACTTACAAAGAGGAAATTAAGATGTAGGTGTTAACACTGGCTTTCTTGACTGAACTGAAAGGAAGAGGGATAGGCTGGTTGGCGTCTGCCTCAGGATTTTTCCACCACCATTGATCAAATCTCTGTACACCCTTGACAATATTTTCCACATTTTGGAAAATATTTCACATAAGATTTATTACGAGCAACCATAAAAGTGAAATAAACCTGAAATGTATTTTTAAAAATTAGAAATATCATTTCCTTCCACACTTAAGACATATGTTTCCCAGCACAATGGGGACACTGTGTTTCAATGTACCCAAAATATTTTCTTGGAAGACAAGAAATATAGAAAGTCATATTTGTTTACATTAACATTCTTAAACCATTCTCACTGCCTCTGTGTGTGCGTGTGCGCACATGCATGTGTTTAATCAATGTTTTAGGCAATAATATGATATTTTAAGTGTTCTCGGAAAAACATATTCTAATTCTCTGTGGCTAAGTGCTATTTAAATCATTAAAAGAACAGAGGAGTGTGTGTCATCATGAGAAATGATCTGAATTAGGTTCCTAAAATGATTCAAATTTTGACCTATAAGCACACACTTCCAAGAAGCCATAATCAACAGCCTACCTTTCTACTGTCCCCAGAGCCCATGAAAAACCACAGTCTAAAGCAATGTGGAAAGAAAGTACATGTAAGTGTACAGAAGCTATTGGGAATGTGGCCTTTTTTGAAAGGAAGAATTTTCTTTCCATCCTTTGTTTACATCAGAGAACTGTAGGACTATTTAAGAGATAGGGACTTTTCCTTTTAATAGCACACACAGGTGACTTTAAAAAATAAAAAGTGAATTATAGTTGGAGCAAAAGGAAACATGCACAGACCAAAGGAAAAAAAAGTTAAGCAAAAGAAATGAGCTATGAAGGAAAAGAGTAAAACTGAAATTAATTACCAGGGGAAACAGGAGGGAGGAAGTCCTTGAATTTCAAAGAAAGTTCTGATTCTCAGACACTTTCTGTTTCTCAAGTTCAAATTGTTTTCATGTGTGAAAACAGCATCATAACATTTATTATTTATTAAATGCTTTTAAAAATAGCCTACATACAAATATATACAACCTTTGCTTTAAAACATTGATTTCTTGCATCTTGGTAATGTTTCAGCTCCATGTCTTTATTCATTCTACATAACCTACTTCAGGGCTTATTTATTCCCTGTTTTTTTTTTTTTTTTGCTGGGCCATCCTGCCATCTGTTGGCAGCTCAGCGTCTGCTGAGCTCGGGCCGGGACTCGAACAGCTGTTGCTCAGAGCTCAAACTCTTGAGCGAGCTCTTAACCAACTGAGCCACTCGGCCGGCCCTCCCTGTATTACTTTTAATGCAATCAATTAATAATAATAAAATATGTTTCTTCTGTGGCACTGCTAAGAATATAAATAAATAATTTCTATCTTAAAGGAATTCAGTCTAGCTGAGTAGCCAACATGCCATACTTTATCAAAGGATTTCTAATGATAGGACAGCATATAGGTGTCAAATTAGTGGCACAAGAAATAACCAACCAGTTTGTGGAACAAAGGAAGATAGACCACCATTTCAGTTGTCTGATGCTGCACAAAAATACCACTCCAGAATGTAGCAACTTAAAACCACAACTTTTTCATTTGTTCCCATCAGCCATTTGGGTGGACTTAGCTGAGACTTATGCGGGTCTCCCCTAAAGCTACTATGTACTTACAGACAGCTGGGGCTCAACTAGGGCTGAATTTTCTAAGATGGCCTCACTCTCATGTCTGGTGGTTGGTGCTGGTTATTGGTGGGCCCCTGTGTCTGCAGCAGGCTAGCCTTAGCCTCTTCCCATAATGACAGTCTTCTAAGACAGGAGTGGAAGCTGGAAAGGGCCTCTCTTAAGTCCTAAGCTTAAAATTTGCGTGGCAACAATTTGCTTTCTATTGGACAAAGTAAGGCACTAGGCCAAGCCCACATGCAAAGATTGCGGAAATAGACTCCACCTCTTGACGGAAAGAGCTGCAAAACATTTGTGGCCATTTTTAATCTATCACCTCTCTAAGCTTGATTTTTCTTATGAACTCAAAATTTAGTCTGTTGGATAAATTGGTCTGAATGTTTTCACTGTTTTTTTTTTTCAAAATCAGCATACCCCACACTGAAAAGATTAATCTTTTGACTTCTCCTTGGTTACTGGCCTTCCCTCCACCTGGTCAACCAAACCAGAAAATTTGAAGTTAGTTTGATTCTTCTTTCCTGTTCACTCTCAGTCACTAGGCTCTTATAACTCCCACATTTAAATTTTCTTTTAAATATTTATTTCCTCTATTCCTTTGCTATATTCTAGTGTATTTCTTCATCAAGCCTAGTTTGAAATGACTCAGGTCTTCTGTCTGTTTCCAGACTGACCAAACTCCAACCAATCCTTTATACTTTCCCGGTTCTCCTTCTAAAACAAAAGTTTGGTTCTGCTGCTCATGTTCTTAAAAATCCTCAGTGATACTCCATTGTTTATAGAATAGAATTATACTCCTTAGCATAAATAACAATCTGGCCCAAACGCCTCTTTATTGCCTCATCTTTTACACCTTTTCCAGTCTTTGCCTCCCTAGTCCCTCTCATAATATAAGCAGTTAATTTATTTGCTTTTCCCCAAATGTGCTACCCAATTTCAAACCTGCATGCTTTGCTCCAGAGTTGTCTTTATTTAGAATAAATGCTTTCTCCTTTCACATCTGGCCACCGAACTCATTCTCCTCCTTCCAGACTGAGCACTAAAGTAACTTCTGTAAAAAACTGTACCAACTCCTTCAGGGAGTTAGTTATGTTGCAGTTCTCTACCCTGATCATAATTTGATCTACTGCTAGCAAATGACACATACCTAAGTTATTTCTATCATTGTACTCTTTTTTAGGTATGAGATCCCTGAGGGTAAAAAAAATTATTTCAGTGCTCTCAGTGTTTATGAGACAATATGATAGATAAATTAAGAATGTTCAGTAAATGATCAATTGGATTAAAAGTCCAGGTCGAAAGAGATTGGTGTAGGATATTGCCTTTCACATTTTTTGAGCATAAGTCACATTAAAACATAACATTTAACTTTGTGACCTAGTACACACACACATGTACACACCTGTATATACACACACACTATATATACATATACAAACATATAATATATATGCATATATATTTATAGATAAACTTAACCCTTACTATGTGCAATATACTAATATTTCATATTATTTCTCCTATATTTTATTTTATTTTTTAAAATACTGATCCCTGCTCACTAAATTAACTGATTCATTAAATGATCCACAAATGTTTCTAAATGTTTGGAAACTACTAGTATAAGGCACCAAAAACATACTTTACTGATGTTATGATTTTCTAAGTCTGGTCCTGTTAATTTCTTAAATAATGCTGTAATATCTAATATAGTCAGAGTATTTTTTATTGAAATTCCTTGGGTAATGGAGATTGTACTTTAAAATTATGGCTCAAAGTTGCTTAAGGTTTCATGAATTAAGGGAGAAGCATTAATTTGCTAGGCATATTATTGAAAATTGAGTTTTATCTTCATTCATTTATACTAGCCTCTCACATTATAAACAATATTGGTAATAAACATAACAGGATAAAGTTTAGATATAAGTACAGTACTGAAAATATATTGCCCTCAATTTGTAGATAATTCAAACAAGCAATGATTAAATTACTTTCATTTTTAAAAATAATTTTTAAATTTTTAAAATTACAGTTAACATACAATATTATATTGCTTTCAGGTATACAACTTAGTGATTAGACATTTAGATAACTTACAAAGTGATCACCCCAATAAATCTAGTACCCATCTGACACCATACACAATTATTACAGTTTTATTGACTATAGTCCCCATGCTATACTTTATATCCCCATAACTAGTTTGTAACTACCAATTTGTACTTCTTAATTTCTTTTCCTTTTTAACCAATACTCCCAACCCTCTTCCCATGTGGCAACCATCAAAATGTTCTCTGTATCTATGAGTTTGTTGTTGTTTTTTTGTTTATTTATTTTGTTTAAAAAATTTTTACATATAAATGAAATCATATGCATTTGTCTTGGTCTAACTTACTCCACTCAGCACAATGCCCTCTAGGTCCATCCATGTTGTGGCAGATGGCAAGATTTCATTCTTTTTTATGGCTGAGTAATATTCTATTTTATATATGTAGCATTTCTTTATCCATACATCTATTGATGGACACTTAAGATGTTTCCATATCTTGGTAATTGAAAATAATGCTGCAATGAACATATAGATGCACATGTCTTTTAAAATTAGTGTTTTGGGTTTCTTTGGATAAATACCCAGAAGTGGAATTACTGGGTCCTTCTTTGTCTCTTGTTATAGCCTTTGTTTTGCCTGGTATAAGTATTGCTACACCGGTTGTTTTTTTGTTTGTTTGTTTTTCCCCTCATGAAATACCGTTTTCCATCCCTATCCTTTCAACCTGTGTGTGTCTTTTGATCTGAAGTGAGTCTCTTGTAGATAGCATATGTAAGGGATTTCTTTTTTTATCCATTCAGCCACACTATGTTTTTTGATTGGAGCATTTAATCAATTTACATTTAAAGTAATTCTTGATAAATATGTAGTTATTGCCATTTTATTATTTATATTTTTTATTGTTTTTCCTTCTTAAAGAAGTCCCTTTACCATTTCTTGTAATGCTGGTTTGATGGTGATGAACTTCTTTAGTTTTTTTGTTTTTTGTTTTTGTTTTTTTTTTGTCTGGGGAGCTCTTTGTATCTTTTTCAATTCTAAACGATAGTTTTGCTGGGTAGAATAATCTTGGTTGTAGGTCCTTTTCATTACTTTGAATATTTCATGTCAATTCCTTCAGGCCTGTGAAGTTACTGTGGAGAAATCAGCTGATAGTCTTATGGGAACTCCTTTGTAGATAACTAACTGCTTTTCTCTTGCTGCTTTTAAGACTCTTTCTTTGTCTTTAACCTTTGGCATTTTAGTTATGATGTGTCTTGGTGTGGGCCTCTTTGGGTTCATCTTGTTTGGGACTCTGCACTTCCAGGGCTTATATGTCTACTTCCTTTACCAAGTTAGGGAAGTGTTCTGTCATTATTTCTTCAAATAAGCTTTCAATTCCTTACTATTTCTCTTATTCTGATACCCCTATGATGTGAATGGTGGTACACTTGATGTTGTCCCAGAGGCCCTTCAACTATCCTCATTGTTTGAATTTGTTTTTCTTTTTGCTGTTCTGATTGGCTGTTTTGTGCTACTTTATCTTCCAAATTGTTGACTCGATCCTCTGCTTCATCTAATCTAGTGTTGATTTCCTCTAATATATTCATTATTTCAGTTATTGTATTCCTCATATCTGACTGGTTCTTTTTTATGTTTTCTGTCTCCATTTTTATGTTTGCTATCTTTTTGTTGAAGTTCTCCCTGAGATTATTGAGCATCCTTATTATCGGCATTTTGAACTCTGCACCTGGTAGATTGCTTGTCTTCATTTTAATTGGTTCTTTTTCCTGGAACTTTGTTCCATTCTCTTATTTAGGACATATTTATTTGCCTCCTCATTTTGGCTGCTTCTCTGTTTTTGTTTCTACATGTTAGGTAGAGCTGCTATATCTCTTGGTCTTGGTAGAGTAGCCTTATGTAGTAGGTGTTCTGTGGGGCCCAGTAGCACAGTCTCCCTGGTCACCTGAGCTGGGTGCTCCATGCGTGTCCCCTGTGTGGGTTGTGTGTTCTCTACTATTGTAGTTGAGCCTTGATTGCTGTTGGCACATCAAAGGGAGGAATAGACTTTCAGGCTGCTTGGTTGTGAGGACTGGCCATGACTATAGTGGAGAAGCTGTTCTGCAGGGGCTGACCGTATGGAGCAGGATTCACTTTACTGGGGCTGTGGGGCCTGCCATCTGCACTTTGGGTGTGTCATTTGTGGAGGTTGGTGTTTTGGTGTCGTCTGAAGCCAGCCACTGGGTGTGTTGGTTCTAAGGCCTCTTGGGAGGAGCTCTGGTGCAGGCCAAGGTCAGCCACTGCAAGTTCCCTACCAGTTGGTATGAGCTGCAAAGTGATCTGCAGATGGTTGCTACTTGTGCTGGGCTTAGAGGTATCTGATAGAAGCTAAGATGCATACTGAGACTGGCTGCTGGTAGTATCAGGTTTGCAGCTGCTTAGCAAGAGGTATGGGGCACACTGAGGCCTGATGCTAATTTTTTGAGATTTTTGAACCTTTGAGACATTTTAGAAAAGTCTGTAGCATAAGTCAAGACAGACTGTTTGTATGGAAAAGCCATTGAAAGCAGCTTGGGTAAGCTCACAAGTTGGATTGGGCAGGGTCTTGGGAAATCACGTGGGCAGGGTGAATAATCGGTGTTAATCAGGTTGATGGAGACTCAGATATGGTGCCTGCTTGTACCTGTGGACTGGGTGGGACAAGGGATCAACAAAGGAACATTGACTTCTGCCGGTACTTCTGTCTGGGAGAACTCTGACCCTCCAGCCCTCACCCTGAAGCCAGAAAATTTAGTTTATCCCCATATGACCCTGGCACCCTTTGTACTGCTGCCCCAGTGCTGAATCTCAGAGCGAGTGAGTCTTGTCAGTGAGGAACTCTATGCATGGGCATTTTAAGAGGAGCACCTGGAGATCTAGCCATCCTCTGTCTCACTCAGCCACAATCTCCACTGGTTTTCACAGCCAGAGATGAGGGAACTTCTCTTCCCAGCACTGGAACCATAGGCTGGGGGTCCCTCACTCCTCAGGGCATTTCCAAGGTGAGATATTACTCCTGATTTTTAATTGCCACATGTGGGTTTGGGATCAGCCCATTCTGAGTCTCTGACCCTCCTACCAGCCCCGAGATGGCCTCTTCTACATGTCCTTAGTTATAAGGCTTCTGTTCAGCTAGACTTCAGGTGATTCTCAGTGATAGCTCTTCTATAGTTTAGTTGTACTTTTGATGTATCATCTTTCTCATTTTTCATTGCCTATCATCTCATGGAAATTTTGTTATCTTCAAATTTCAATATTAGATTTTGAAAACAAACCTTTTACTATATAGGGGCACAGAATATCTCCAGAAATATATGTACCTTTTTTGTTATCTAATTTCACATCAATTGAATTTATATTATATTAATTATTAATAACTAAGATTATTATATACTTAGCAAAAGTTAACTCACTAACATATAGAATATTTTAATATTTATATAAAATATTTCAATACATTTTAATACAATTAATTAGCACTGATGTAATCTTTGAAAATATACCTATTTTATTCTCAATATTTCATGAATACTTCTTTTTACGTTAACATCTTTTCAAATCAAAATCATAAACAAAACATATTACCCTATTAAATCTATAAGTATGATTCTGTACCTTCAAGTTTCTTTAATAATGCATTTAGTGACATTTAAAATAAATTGCAGATATTCGCCTTATTACCACTTAATCCCATTACAGTATGTAAAGATTTCATATTTTTAAATTTAGTCTATATTGATATAGCCTCAGGTTCCTCATATGAGTTATTACAATAATTTAAATAGACCTCATTTAGGAAGAGTATCTCATATGCTTCACTGCTAGAATAATCAATAATGCATCACTTATAGACAGAATGTCTAGCTTGCAATTATAGTTTAAATTTTGTGAGAGTTGCTTCTGTATAATGTCAGAAATATAAACATGTATTTATAAAGATGATATTACATAACCTGTATATATATTTTTTCTTTCATTTGTAAGATAGATGGACAGCTCAGAACTACAGTCAATTCTGGGGAATGACTTTAGAAGAAGGTTTCAAATATCGCCTTGGCACCTTGCCACCCAGCCCCATGCTTCTAAGCATGAATGAAATGACAGTAAGTGTTTTCTCTGTTTGACTCATTAATGTGTGTGTGTTTGTATAGGCGTGTTCATATGTGTATTTAAAGCTATTTTACATAACTCAAATAGTGAGTTTTGAGCTTTCAGAGTTGTAATTTTATCACATAAATAAAAAAATTCATTGTCATATCCTTCAAAATTTCATGTAGACTTTGAAAGTTCACTAATGTCAGATATAATTTCCTATTTTTAAGAACAATTGTGTTCATTTACATTGCTAATAATTTTGTAGAAATTCATGTTTCCAATCATTGGCTGTTCAGTGACCCAATGCTTAACTTAGTCATTAGTTGTCCTTATTTTTCTTTTTGATAGTAAGCACAATTATTTTGTGAATTCATCAAAACAAGAGTTTTGGTGTCTCTTGGAATGCCCATTATCAAATCACATGAGGATAAAATAAATGCCATTAACTGCAGACATATATGATATGATGATTAATAAAGTTTTATCCTCAAAATTTTCATTAAAGAACATCTTCAAATTTTGCCTGAATGCCTGGCAAATTCCATTGTGATATTGCTACATTTCCTAGTATCTTTTGCACTATTGTATTGGTTTTCCATGTCATCTTTAAGAGCTGTTATCATCTGAGAATAGGTATCTTGCATGAAGAGGCTTCTACCCCTATAGTTATCACAGAGCTCTAACTCTTCGAGCTTCAGTTTTACCACCCAAGATGTGTGGAGTCTCTCAGGCACACACACTTTCCAGTTGAGATGTTGATTGTAGTCAAAACCCTTTAACAAATGCACAGGGCAGAACTGGGCTCTCAGGCTGCTAGAGTGCAGCCTCTTCACTCTGCAATGAAGATATCAGGTTCTGGCTGCCTGGAAGCTCTCAGCATCTCAGAGCAAGCAGAGCTATTGTTTGCTCCTGATAAGTTGAAAATCCACAGGTTTCTCATTAAACATTTAATGTGCTTTGCTTTTTGAGAGATGTAATCCCCTCAGTTATTCCAATTCAAATTCCAGTAGTAGGGCCTTCTAAATTATAACTAGTATCAGAAAAGATAATAATGGCTGCCATTTATTGAGTGGCTGTGTGTTAAGCACTCTTATAAGCACTTTCATACATCATCTCATCTAATTCCCACAGCAGCTTGATGTAGTGGGTACTGTAATTATCCACATTTTAAAGACAAGAAAATTGCAATGAAGAGAGGTTAAGTCATATTGAGACTGAGAGAAGTGAAAAGCCACCACAAAATTACTTAAATTACAGAGCCTAGACATCTTAAAAGATCCGTCCCCTAAAAATAGTCCTTGGAGTTTTAGTAGAAAAAGTTAGCTGTGGCCCATTCAGGTTCAAAATAGCAAAAAAGCCCTTTTATCTTTGAACCAGAGCTAACTTTATACAATGATCAGTTTAGATATATTTTGGGATCTTTTCTATAATCAATAAGGTATGAACTCTTTAGAAGTATGGCTCAGATTCATGGATTTTAGTGATCTAACTGTACGACCAATTGGAAGAGTTTAGTTCTTTTTTTTTTTTTCTGGCTGTTTTGTTTTTTTCATTTTTGTTCTCATCTGGAAAAAAAGAGGCAGAATTGTTCAAGAAAAGAATATATGTATCCTTTTATCAGGATTGGTCTTTCTCTTGCTTTTATTGAGGGTCCCAGTCAGCCAAATACTCATTTGGGTGCCTATATACATTTTCTCTGAATTATTTCTAACATTTCCTTTTTAGATTTTAGTTTTGGCAACTTGGAATATTTTATATTCTAGAGAAAATGAGGTTCATTTCTTTCCCAGGTTACCACTCACCATAGCATAGAAAAGGAAATCTAATTCTAAATCATTATTGGCTGCTGGGATTTATTTGCATAAACATCTCTATGGTGATATTTAAATGAAAAATCTTAATGATTAGTACTTTGGGAAAATTTAAATTACCTAGTGCTATGAATTAATATAATACAGTTGCCTAGTAATTCCAAGAAAGCCAGCAATAAGGAACATTCAGCTGATCTGTTAGAGTTCCATTATCCACTTATGATGTAAGAGAAGGAAATAGCTTCCTGTTTCTAGGGCACAGTAGCTTGAGGATCAAGGGCCTTTCAAAAGTTTCTAAGTGTTGGCATTGTCCTAATACCTGGTCAGATATAAGAAAATTAGAAATATAATAAGTGCTTCCAGGAAGAACATGAGATTAATATGAACTGAGCTGCAATGGTAGCTACAGGAAGACCTAAAAAATAGGTTAATTCTTAGCCTGGTGACTACATAGAAAATATCACAATACAGTAAATTGCCTCTGGATACATTGAAAAGAAATTATTTTTTTGTGGGTGTGTTTCTGGATAACTCCCGCCACCCCACTTTCCCTCAATTTTTTAATACAATTTTCAATGCAGGGTGGTCTCTGTGTACAGATAGGGTAGGCAGTTGCCAATGGTGATACTGATTTTGCTAAGAAACTCCACTGCATCCCCATCCCAAAACATCTCCCTTGACCACATTACCTAGATGCATCTTAGGCTTCACAAAATTCTTTATCCTGGGTGGAGAAGGTGAGCCATGAGTTGTCCCTGGTTCCTGGGCGATGCTTTTCTCTTCCCTGGCTGGATTCCTGGCTACATTCCTTGGCTTAACTCACTATTCACAGAAGGTGTCTGCTGAGGATGAGTCAGAGGAAAATCGGTAGGTGTTGTATAAAGAGTTCCATCATCATTTGAATATGAGAAGTCTGCTTAACCTATATGAATTTGTTTAATTCAAATGAATTTTTGTAATGTATCGTTAATAACAATGAGGAATAGTAATAAGTTGATAGTGGAGGATTGGAAAAGTAACTTGAGGATTTGGGGGAGCCTCCCTGGTTAGCAATCCTAAATGAGGACAGGCAAAAGGAAATATAAACGTATTGTTTTCTCTGGGTACAAGCAGAGTAGATGAAAGGAAATAAAAAGGAGAAAGAAAGAAGGTGAGAGATGCCATGCCTAGGCCCTGTAGCTTTTTGCTGTGTGCAAAGACTCACTTTCCCCACTGTAGGATTATGTCTTATGCTGCTGATCAATTCATGCTTAGCTTTTTCCTGAAAGTGTTATCTTGAGATTGTTCAAAGTCATGCCTTGATTGTACAGCTCTTGCTCCAAATCATTCTACACTAAAAATGTTAAGAATGATTAGATGAATCAACCATTCTCTGTCAGTACATTGAAACTTGGCACGTTGTATGGATAGACTCACAAAGGGGTTGATTGGGAGCTGGCCTTCGAAGAGCTATAGTTCCCCACAGAACTTTAAATTCTGCTCATTGAGCCTTTTGTCTTCTTATTGTACAAAACAGGTAATGGTATGGTTTAAACCTTGTTTCAATATTTCTCAACTTTTGTTTCACGGACTTCCAGTCTTACAAGATTGTGAATAAAGGTGTCTCATCCATGGTCAAATAAATGTCTAAAATGGTGCATTATACTTCCTTCTGAAGATTCACACTATTCATTAGTTTATTGAACACACTAAGAACCATTATTCCATTAATATTTTTTCAGCTAGTGTCTCCTAAATTCATGAGAGGACTCCTTCTTCTCCTTCTTCTTCTTCTTCTTCTTCTTCTTCTTCTTCTTCTTCTTCTTCTTATTATTATTATTATTATTATTATTATTATTAATGATTGTTAATATTCCTCAGGATTTGGCTCCCCAGAGTACACTTTAGGAAATACTAACTTAAGCTAAAATATTGAAATAAGGGTGCTGGAGGAAGAAGGATATTTAGGAAAAAATAGGATCTTCTCAGTGTCTCAGAAAGAAAATGAGAAAGACAACAAGTTATGACTGTATGCAAACTGACATTGACTGAAATTCCTTTGAGCCAGCAGAAATAACACAGTTGAAGTCTATTAATAGGCATGTGTAGGCCAGCGAGTTTACCCATGTGGCACCATTCCACATACAGTGATGGACATGAGCATGGGTCAGCCTAGCTTCACTACCTATTTCCTCAGTTTTCTTCACTGTGAAATGGTAATAGCTGTAGTGCCTAGTTGATAGGGTTGTAAGAAGTCCACATGATGCTGAATGAGAAGTGCTTAGAATAGTACTTAGACTATAGTAAAGCATTAAAAAAATCTTATTACATAATATATAAAGTTGTTCCTTCTCCCTGGATTAACTTTGGGAAAATAGCAGAGTTCTGAAACAGGTCAATTCTGTAAGGACTAAATTATCCAAAACGTCATCATTTACAGCATTTCATTTCATAAGGAAAGGTGTAGCTCTGCATTTATTGGCCCTGATGGAGTTTACATATTTCTGGTAAATTTGAAAGTTCTACTATCTATGCTCCTAAATCAAATCGAATCATATCAAATCAAATCTAATTTAATTAACAACTCTACCTGATTGTTTTCCAAGACATACTGTTCAAGTGCTTTTGAATTTGGGAAATAACTTCAAAAAGCTTCACTGTGTTATATCCTATTATAAATATTACAAATATTTTGAATGAAACATTCAATTTGCAAACACAAATGGGGGAAATTAAGAGTTATTTCTATACTCAGCTCAGTTAAAATTTTTTAAAATAGTTTTGTTGTTGATTCCCCAGGGAGAACAATAAAGTTAACAAAAGCTATTACAGATAAGTATCATATCTGAGGAGAAACTATTTGGAAACTTAGAACATTAATAAGCCTGGAATAACATTTAAAACCTGTAGCTGTATTATAGTATATTGCATGAGATTGATGTATGTAAAAATGTTCTAAATTTTTTTTGTCAATCTCATACCTTACTAGTACATCTTTTCCCAGTCACTAAATATACATGGCTTTAGTTTGTTTTAGTTAGTATTACTAACAAAGGAAAATGTTTTTCTTCCTATGGTTTGTTGGAAGATAAAGTAAAATAATATTGTATGTGTTATATAATAACTTTTAAAGCCATCGATCATTAAGGTGAAAAGTAAAAATAAAAAATTTAATAATCTGGATATGTTATCATTGTTTAAATAACATAGTATTTGAT